CGAAGAGCCGCAACAACTTCATGTTTGTTTTTTTATATAAGAAACTTTAAACTCTTTCTTTTAATAATCTGAATTTTAAGAAACTTTTGTACTAGATAAGTAAAAAAAAAAACTACCCAAAAAATAAGAAACTTCTAGTATTAGCCCATTTTCTTGGTTTCATATAAAAACAACAATTAGTAATTCACTATTTAAAATCATTTTTTAAAGAAAATTTTTTAGAAAATACAAATCATTTAGAAAATTCCATGAGCTCCCAAGGTGTGGAAATAATTGTTGTATTACTATTCAACAATATCATTTTAATATGAAATTTAGATATTTCTTGGATACAAAAAATCATTTTTTAAAAATTTAAGTAAAATATGTATACAATTGAATTTAGTTAATTGTTTTAAAACACTCAATAAATTTTTTAAAGAAAAAACTATTCCTTCAAAGGTTTTGTTTACAATGCCATTATATCTGATTTATTTCCTTCAGACTAACAGACTAAAAAATCATTTCTATAATTTTTGACAATCACATGATCACACTGATTTTGCACAGCACACGATTAGGTACTGTGCAACACACTGGCCATGTGCTGTGCAACACACTGATCTTTTTTATGATAGATTTTTGTACTAGCACATGCTGATCATAAACTTTTTTTTAATTAACAAAATTATTACAATGCTTATATCAATTAAATAACACTTAAAAAACAACACTAAAATTCATGTTATCAATTTTTTAATTTGATCAAACTAATACTCAAAACTTTACTGATAAGTTTCTTAAAACTGGTTTCAAACTTGTAGTGGCTGTTCTAAGTAACTCAGACAAATGCTCCCTGGTTAGATTTGCACGATACTTTGATTTGATAAATTTCATAGTAGAGAATAAAGATTCACATGTATACGTTGAACCAAAAATTGAAATGAATTTTATGGCAATCTTTTTTATTGAAGATACTTAACCTCGAGAACTATCTTCCAAAATTCCATAAAAGTTATTGTTTTATGCAGCATAAGTAGATTTTGATCTTCTTGGAGATCTAATAGTTCCATTTCAAATTGAGATAAATCTTCAAGCATTTTTTCAGGTGTTGGACAGTCATTACTAATAATATTAATTAAAGAAGGATTTACTATAAATCCTAAAGAAGATTTTAGTTCATGCAAATCTTTAAACCTTTTTTGAAAGTCTTTTTGTAAATCCTTTAGTTTGTTCAAGTATGATTCAATCTTAAAGTCATCATACTGAATTGAAGGATTAGAAGTAATCATCTCCTTCATTTGAGGAAAATGATTAAATTTTTTCAAAAAACTAAATATCGTTTGTGCAAGATCAGATATATTTTTTTCTTTTTCCTAAAGAAACAAATTCAAACTTTTTAAATGTTGCATTATATTAGTCAAAAACAAAAGATCTTGCACAAAATTTATATCGTCTAGGATTTCAAACATCTTTTCTTCTTCAATCAAAAAACATTTAATTGGCTCTAATAGTTTTACAAATCTATAAAAAACATCACTACTTGAAAGCCATCTTACAGAACAGAAAAATGACACGTCACTTGGCTCGTCAGCAAGATCCAATTCATTTATAAAGTTTCTAAACTGTTAGTGATTTTTTGTATTTGCTCGAATATAATTTACAATTTTTAAAACAGATTTAAAAACATTTGGAAAGTTAAAATGTTTTGCAGCTAAATGTTCTTGATGAACAACACAATGAATTGGGATAAATTCTGGATACTTAGGATCACTTTTTAATAAGCCTATAAGTCCTAAATGTTTTCCAGCCATTGCTGATGCACCATCTGTAGCAACACTAACAAGCTTGTTGATAGGTACATTAGCTTTAAGCAGAGCTTTGTCAAGGGCTTCCTTATATCAACTCCACGAGTTATGTCTTTTAACTCAATCAAATCTAGTAACTCTTCTTTTACAATTATGCCTGAAGTCACATATCTAAGAAATACAGCCATTTGAGGCTTGTCTTGAATATCTGTTAATTTATCTACAGCTAAACTAAATACTTCTCATTTTTTTAAATTGTTTAGTAATTGCTGTTCAACATCAATACCAATCTCAGATATTTTTCTCTCAGTTGTATGTCGAGAAGTAGGAATTTGTGATACTAATCTTTGGATTTTGCTATTACTAGGATCTAAAACTGACCGGACATCTGAAATGTTTTGCTTTATAAATTTCCATCGGTATAAGGATGTTTACCTCTGGCAATATTCCATGCTATAACAAAACTTGCTTCTGTTGTATTATTTGATTCTTGGCTGTAAGATGAAATATTTAGTTGTTAAATTTTATTTTTTGTTTTGAGCAATTCAATTTAATTCTTTCTGTAATTTGAACTTAACGGATTTCTTCAGAAACTTGTTTATGTTTTGTTCTATAATGACGTTTAACATTGCATGTCTTGTTATGAGCAAGTTCTATATTGCAAATTAAACACATAGGTTTATTGTTTCTTTCAATAAATGCATATTTTTATGTCCAATCGTTATGAAATATTCTGTTTTTGACTTTAATTTTTCTTTTCCTCCTTATTTTGCGAAACAAACTAGTGTTTACTTTTACTTTATCCATTTTTGCAAGTTTTATGACGATAAGAATGATGGAAATAATTATATGGAAATATATTAACATATAACAATTTGGAATTAAGCCGTATGCGGCTCGCAAGCCGCAATAACATTCCAAGTGCCGCATGCGGCTCGCGAGCCGCCATTTGGCCATCCCTGATCTAAACTGCAGCCGTTTTTTAAAACGCCTTAAGGTTAACGAAGAGTTAATTTTTAATAATTTTTTTTTAATTACGTTTTTCTCGAAATACGTTATAAGCATATAAAGCATTTTGAAAAACAGCTGCAGCATATATTTATAGTAAAAAAATATGTTACAAAAAAAAGCTTTTCATTATCAAAAGAAAGTTTTAAATTTTTTTCTAGCTACAGGCTTTTTTTTTTTTTTTTTCGCCTGCACAGCAGTACCTTCTTAAGTAGCAGGACTTTTTTATACTGCTTAATATAGTTTTTTTTTTAATAAGTTTCAGACAACTTTTTTTCACTAATCACCTGAGCACATTAATAACATAAGTGTCTCAATCATCATACATACGCAACAAATTTTTCTCCCGATGATGTTTTTTTTTGTTGATGTTTTATGAAACTTTAGTTTTCTTAAAATCTTTACTTTTGTGAAAATGTATAATATTGTTACGTTACATATGTATATAATCTTTATAAAACTTCAAAATTATTTTGTATTTTAAAATAATCGAAAAAATAAAAAAATAAAAAGCCGCCATTGGTAGGAACTTAACCTCGGCTTGTTTAGAAGCTCGACGCCTTATCCACTCGACCACACAGGCACATACTCATGCAAAATTTTTAAAACAATTTAACAACTTTTTCAAGGAAAAAATGTTATAGATTAAAATTAAGGAGAGTTTGACGCAAAGCAGTTTTTAAGTGAAAATCAAGCTTTAAAACTTGATAAATGTTTCAGTATGTTTTAACATTACTTAGTTTAAAATTAATTACGTACGTTAGATTTTTGGATACGCGTTCATTCACGTTTTCTTATAAAACAGAGGACTCTTTCTCGCCATTACCTCGGTTGCAATGGCTGCCAATGGTACCGTGTCAATCAGGCTCGAAAGTGTACTACTATTAAGTTCGGCAATAGTATAATATATAATAAAATAATATAATAGATAGATAGATAATATATAGAATAATATATAGTATCATATATTAAGTATAATATGTAGTGTCATAGTTATATCACAGTTGAATACTTTATTCTAAAAGAATCCATGTATTCATATGCTTTATAGATTTCAATAATGCTTTTGATAGCGTTAAATATTGGAAACTGTTTTCTAAGTTAATTGATCAGAGTATTGCCAAGAATTTTGTCTGTCTACTTTCATCTTGGTACAAAAATCAAACTATATTTATTTGATGGCATAAAGTAAACTCTGATAGCATTAACATAAGCAATGGTGTGCAGCAAGGTCGATTTCTTTCACCGTTCTTGTTCATATTTTATTTAAGAAAACTGATTTGATTTTCAATATCATGAACATGCAAATTGAATGTAACATAGGTGAAACTTTTTTAAATTATTTAGCACGTGTCAATGATATTGTACTTATTTTTCTGTCTAGGTTTGCATTCCAAAAATTAATAACTGCATTAAATGTTGAAGCCACTGCCGTTAATGTCATTTAATACAAATAAACAGTGTGTATGGTATTTAACCCAAAAGAGAGATGAAAGATTGTGTCAAGCAATTTTCCACTGTTTACCTTAGCTGGATGTGAATTAGTTTTCTTTGACAAATTCAAGTATCTGGATCACATAATAGAAAATGGTTTGTTTGATAATGCTGATATAAATTGAGAGATTTAATGTGAGATTAAATTGAGAAATTAAATATACAAACATATTAATCAGACGATTCAAGAAATGCTCAATTAAGGTAAAAGTGCAGCTGTTTAAGGCCTCTGTTTTTATGATGTAGCTCTATGGACTAATTTTAGTGCAAATACTATGTTAAAGCAAGATTTTTGTTACAAGAAATGTACTAAAATGTTTTTTGGATATGACAAGTACTCAAAGCCCTACAAATATATTTATGGTACTAGGCTTGCCTAATCTAGATTTATAAGGCTAAAAAATAAAACTCTTATCTTGTCTTAAGATTGAGTGATATTTTACACAAAAATAATTCTAATTATAATAAAATAATTTTGGATGTTTTCATAATTGTTTTAATTGTACTTTATTTTAATATTATATTACATATAAATGTATTTTAATTGTATACATATGATTACTTTTTAATTATATAAATATATTTATTTTAGTTATATAATTATATTTGTATATCAATTATTTAAACATTATTTACCTCAAACATAAAGCTAATACAATGTTGCTCATTATAATATGATATAAATTGCTTTTAATATTCATTAAATTATAGAGTGTCTAGAAGGTTATTACAAAACTGATAGTGGCAACCATCCATGTTCAAAATGTGGAGCCAATGTGAAGCCTGGAGCAGCTCCACGAATATTATGTGAATGCCTTCCAAATTACCACAGACAAATTGGCAGAGATTCTAATGAGGCTGACTGCTTTGGTTAGTTTTTAAAGTTTAGTATAAATAAATTTTTTAATAGTTTTATATATATATATATATATATATATATATATATATATATATATATATATATATATATATATATATATATATATATATATATATATATATATATATATATATATATATAGGTTTTGACGTCAGGTCAGGTTATGTTACTTGTAATTTGTAACCCAGTACAACCTGTTTCATGTCCTGATGCCTTGTAGAATACACATTTTTAGGCAAAAGCTAGGAGAAGCCAACTCCGGTTAATATCCCTATAAAAATACTCATCTTATGCAGCCTTAAATGCATCTGGCTACTGTTTTGTAAAAGGTCTCTTAGTGATCTTAGTGTTGATGGTTATCTTCCTTTAATTTGTAAAGATTCCAATAGTCACATGCTTGGCCATGGCATCTATATTCATAAGAATATACCCATTTGTTGGGAAATTTGTAGTAATTTTATTATAAGAATTTTTTTGTCAACACCCATTTGTTGTGAAGTTTTAATCCTCAGACTATTCTTTTATATGCTTTCATTTAGCACCTCTTCACTCTAAATTTTTTTTTCTTTATTCTATATCGTTCACCTTCATCTCTTTTCAAAGTTATTTTCAACCAATACTGTTGTTGGCGAATTTAATGCTTATCACACTAGATGGCTTGGCTCTAGTATCAGTGACTCTGCAGGCATTACGGCCCACAACTACTACCTTTCTCAATCTCTAACTCAATGAGTCAACTTTCCAACTCACATTTATCGAACCATTTACCTTCTCTACTCAATTTATATCTTGTTTCTGATCCTGATCTGAGTCAGTGTTCAGTTTCTATACAAGACCTTCCAGGTCTTCTGATCACAGTTTGATCTCTCTAAAGCTATTAGAGTTCGGAACTTATGCACATATCGGTGAATATATGTGCATACCTTTCAAATGTTATGCGCATAATTATTCGCATATGATCAGCATACAAACTTAACCGATAAACGGTATGTGAAATTAATTATTGTCAAATATAGAATAAAATGTTAAATCAAAAATCAAAAAAAATATTTTAAATAAAAATTTCAAGTTATTTTGATGCTTACAAATTTAAAAAAATATATATCAAAACTTGGCAATTTAATTTGTTTTTGTATTATGTTTGCTCATTTATTATATCTTCACACTCAAATTTGCTGAGAACTGCTCCTTCCTCTAAAATGTAGTCATTTTTGTTGTTTGTATCCATCAAAATACTATTGGTATATATGAAAATTAATTTTTTTTACGCGTTCCTTTGTCAAGCGATTTCTCAATCGTGAATGAATAAATTGAAAAAATTGACCAAGTTCTCTCTGCAGGTGATAAGGAATTTAAAGCATTTCATAACCATTTCCTGAATATTTTGCTTGTTTTCAAATTTCTTGTACATTTTACCAAAATAATAGTACACCAAAGATAATGGAGTATCATCATTTTTAAGTCTTCCAACGATGTTGGAAGGATATTCGATATCTTTCACAAGTTTTGCCAAACTATCCCAGAAAGCATTTGATTTAATTAGCCTCAAAACAGGGGCCAAATTCGTTTTTGGAGCAATTTCTTTCAAAGATGCATTTTCCTTATCCGCAAGTTGAATCAAAACATACTTTGCCAAAGGTTGTTCATTGAATTAAAATGACTGAGCCATCAAGTTGAAACAGGCATTGTGAGTGAGCAATGAATATTAACTGGAATTTTTTATTTCATCAAACTGTGCTTTTACAATGTGATGATTTTTCAGAAACTTGATAACTTTTTCAGCTTTTTTGATGGTCTTTGAACTTTTAGCAATACTCAAAATGTCCTTAACGAGAAGATTTATACCGTGTGCTGCACAGCCATATGTTGAGATGTGTGGAAATTTTTCTTCAATTATATTCTAAGCAGCTTTCATTACTGGAGCGTTGTCAATGATAATGCTTCTAAACTTTTGTGGACCGAGAGTATCGATTACTTCGATGATAGTACCAGTAACAGCTGCAGTGTTTTAAATTGTGCTTGATGTATTTATTGAAGTATAGAAAAATGGTTTTGTATTTGGTGCCTTGATACAAAAATTCACTATATGATCGCCACCAATATTTGTCCAACCATCACTGACAAGCATTAAATTTTCAGATGATTAGAGACTTTCTTCCAATTTAGCGGAGCATTCTACATACTTTTTATCAATAAGCAAACCTGACAATGTTTTTGCGCACGGTATTGATGATGCATACTATGGATTAAGTGCTTTGATCAAATCCTTCAAAGCTTCAGATTCAATGAGACAAGAGATATTCCAGTTTGAAAAAAGAAGTTTGCTAATTTCGTATCGATTTCTTTTTTTAACTCTTCAGGATTCATCACATTGTTGACTACTTTGTAAGTTTCAGCTGAGATTATAATGTTGTTGTTAAAGTTGATTAATGATTCTGCTTATCGTTTTGCAAACAATCATTTTTCATCTTCACTAGCGCTTGGACATGATGTTTGTTTATGTGCTGCAAGGCAATTTTTTGCTCTTTGAACTGTCTTTTGGCAGGCAATGCAAGCTCCAGTTCTCTTTACTGTGTCGAGATTTTGCAATTATCTATTAATTCATGGTGGCCACAGTCCTGGAATGTCCTGGATTTTTGCAAGTGTCACAATATGTCCTGAAATGTCCTGGAAAATTACATTTTTTTCAAAAATGTCCTGAAATGTCCTGGAACTTTTTTTTTTCTGAGTCAAGTTAAGAAATTACTAATAATATTAAAGTAGTATTAAATTTTTTATGCAAAAAAATATTTTATATAAATGGTTTGAACTTAATTTTAAATAAGAGAGTAATAATTATATAATAATATGATATTCTATTCTATAATTCAATCAATATGAAAAAAATATAATGTAAAAATAATTGATAATATTCATTTAATAAGATATAAAACGTCCTGGAAAATGCAACAAAATGTTCTGGAATTTCCTGGAAATGTCCTGGAATTTAATTTTTAAAATTTTGTGGCCACCATGTTATTGTAAAGTTTTCCATTGTCTTTCTGTTTGCTGAAAAATGTCTATTTAAACTATAAATTTTTGATTTTTTTATTTGTTCATTTTTTGGTTTCAAAAGCACATTAATTTTAAATTTATTAAAACTAGTATTAAAACTCATTTTTTTGTCTGTCTAGTCAAAACAATTTAACGGTTTTTAATGATTTGAAACCGGAAAAAAGTTATGCGCATAATTATGCAACTGTATGCGCACAATTTATCGGCCAATATCTGCTCATAAAAATTTTTCAGAACCTTAACTATTATCCCATTCTTTTTCATCATCAAAATCCCTTTATCATTGTACCTCTTAAAGCTGACTGGGACTCTTTCCAAGATTTTTTTTGGGATGGCTCTTGGGTAGAAACCTTTCCTCTTTCTGCTAACAAATGTGCTTCGTATGTAACTTCTTTGGTTCAGGCTGGCATGGAAGTCAAACCTCACTCTTCTTCATGGTTTTCCTCTTCTTGTGCTGCTGCAATTTGCAATCATAACCATAACTTTAATTCTATCAGCAAAACAATTCTCCAGATAACAGACATCTATTTACTATTGCTAGAAACCATTGTAAAAAGATTTTGTTTAATGCCAAAGCCCGCTATTCTTAGGTCATGACATCTTATAACATAACTGTTATAGTCTTGAAGAAGTGTTCTCCATATTTGTTTTCTATGCTTTTAAAACTATTTAACAAGTGCTTATCAGAGTCTTGTTTTCCAGCCTGCTGGAAAGCAGCATCTGTTATCCCTATTTTTAAAAATTCTGGAGAGCAATCTGACTTGTCTAACTACCGTCTCATAAATCTTCTTACTATCATAAGCAAGATTTTTTAACCTTTAAATAACAAACACTTAACCTCTCATCTTTATGGATTTTTATGCTTTATGATTTTTATGCTTATGATTTTTATGCTTTATGCTTTATGATTTTTATGGATCTTTATGCTTTTAAAACTATTTAACAAGTGCTTATCAGAGTCTTGTTTTCCAGCCTGCTGGAAAGCAGCATCTGTTATCCCTATTTTTAAAAATTCTGGAGAGCAATCTGACTTGTCTAACTACCGTCTCATAAATCTTCTTACTATCATAAGCAAGATTTTTTAACCTTTAAATAACAAACACTTAACCTCTCATCTTTATGGATTTTTATGCTTTATGATTTTTATGCTTATGATTTTTATGCTTTATGCTTTATGATTTTTATGGATCTTTATGCTTTTAAAACTATTTAACAAGTGCTTATCAGAGTCTTGTTTTCCAGCCTGCTGGAAAGCAGCATCTGTTATCCCTATTTTTAAAAATTCTGGAGAGCAATCTGACTTGTCTAACTACCGTCTCATAAATCTTCTTACTATCATAAGCAAGATTTTTTAACCTTTAAATAACAAACACTTAACCTCTCATCTTTATGGATTTCGATCTTTTCGTTCTACAGCAAATTTGCTAACAATAATAACCAATAGGTTTTATTAGGCATTAGATAGATGTGGAGAGGTTAGGGCTATTGCTCTCTACCTTTCTAAAGCCTTTGATAAAGTTTGGCATGCTCATCTTTTCCATAAGCTTCTTCTTATGGTTTATTAGGTAACATCTTTAAGATTAATGAATCCTTCCTTACCAATCATAGTATAAAAGTTGTCCTAGATGAACAGCACTCTTTTTTTACATCCTGTAACAGGGGTTCCTCAAGGTGATTCTTGGCCCTATACTCTTTTTAATTTACATTAAAGATCTTCCAGATATTCTCACATCTAAGGTGGCATTGTTTGCTAATGATACTACCATTTATTCTTTTCTTGATAAGAAGCCAATACTCTCTGATTGCTTGGAGGGGGCATTAGTAAGTGACCAGGGTTTCGGCTAAACTATAAGATTTAGCAGGGGTTGATAGCTAGGACTAGAAAAAATTTGTAATACTTTATATATTATAATTTTATGCTTACTTTTACTATTTA